ATTCCTGCTAATGGGCTCTGCAGCGAGAGTTCTTGAGCACTTGACCACGATCACTCCATCTGGCTGATGTAATGCTGAAGACAGCCCTTTTAGCTGGTGGCAATTTAACCCCTAGGGCTCCCTCTGGAGTCCCCCAGCCCCAGGCTATAGGCTGAGCCAAGGCTACTCAGGGTCCACTGTGGTCAGGCTGAGTAGAGTAGAGGTATCTGCCTTTTCACACGGTGTCCTTGGACACTGGGGGTGTTCTCTATCACCTCAAGGTGTAGCAGGGAAGCATGGCCTGCCCCGTGAGCATTGCCCACAGACATCCTAGCTGCTTAGCCACTCGGATGCCAAGCATACTTGGTCAAAATAGTCAGAACCCACTTTCACAATGCCCTAGCAAGGGAATATGTCTGACTTCCATGGGGAAGCTCTACTGTATCTTGACGGGCAGGGAAGGTTGGGCATGAAAACTGTTTATTGGTTGATTTGAAAGGAAATATGTCCCACTAAGGGCAGAAATGAGCATTGGGCCCACTCTCAGTTTTCACTCTGGGTATCTGGCCGGGTCCTTAGCTCTCCCCTGCCCGCTCTGCCTGGTCATGCAGAAGCTGCAGGGTTGGGCTGAACTATCAGGAGGCTGACAGAGAAGGCCGTCTGCAGTACTCAGTATATCCAGAGCTGCTGGGCCCAAGGCGGTTCTCTGTGCTGTTATCACTAAAGGCACCTCTGGCCTAACCTAGGAGAGAGCTTGATGTGGGCTAGGAACCAGAGTTCTGAGAGCTTCAGGATGACAAGTTTCTCGGGACAGGGGAGAAAGAGAGGGAGCATTTCCCTGAAATCCTTGGGAAAAAAATAGGCATGGCTGTGCCGAGTGTGTGGGAACCGCGGCACCTCATCCTCGTTGGAACTCTTCTCTGATGACTCACATTGCAGTTTCCCAATTGTTGCTGGGATTTTAATGTTCAATATGGTGGGAGGAGGGCTTAGCTCCTTTTATGTTTGATTATGGAAAGTAAATTCTTGAGGTCGTGCTGTGAACAGCCATGTTGTGATTTTCATCAGCTCGTGGTGGGCTGAGATGGTTGGCAAAACGCTTCATGAAGCCAGAGCTGGAATCGCTAAGAATGTTATTATGGCCATAAGCAGACTGGTTGGAATAACTCTGGTGAGGCAGGCTATGCCTGTCAGAAGTTCTGAGACCTTGAACCTTCCTGGTGGGCCACACCAACACGTATGAGTGGATCCTGGAGAGCAAATCCCTTTAAACCTCCATAACGTATTCAAGAATTAATATGGAACACTAGGCAGGATACAGGGGTGAGCAGAAGAGCCTGGAGGCATGGGTAGCTGAGTAGAGAGCAGCGGTGTGTTGCCAACATGCAAACAGCATGTGTCCACTCTTACAAGTCAGTAGTTGGCCACTACCAGAAAGGTTCGTCTCGCCTAAGCGAGCTGTGACTTGGAGGGAAATTTCCCTTTTTGTAATGGTTGCCTTATTTTCAACTCTGATGCCTTCTCGAGCGGTCATTCACTTTCCTGTTTTCTGCACACTAAGTTCTCTTTTCTGTCTTTCTCTTTCTGCAACCTTACACTGTGGCCGCCAGTCCATCTCAGCCTTCCAGTGCTACACCCACTCCTTGGCTGACACATTCTGCTCTGAGGTGACTGGTTCTCTTGCCAATTTTCAGAGAGTGGTATTAACCCCTAACCCGCGTTCTGCACCCTGTCCTCCCCGCCGATGGTACTGGTTGTGCTAACTGTGAGTGTCTTGCGTACTAATGGGCTCATTCGTTGGCATGGCCGGTCAGCACTGTGGGGTGGTGCTCAGCTTGAAAGCCGCGTTCTGACTGCACTTCCCGAGGGCCAGCAGCCCAGTCTGCTCCAAGTGCATGCCCGCCTCGCCTCTGTTCCCTGGGTCGGTCTGTGTGTGCATGCGTCCAGGTGTGTCTGCAAAGCCAGATTTTCTTGGGAGCGGTTAACCTCGACAGTGAGACAGGACCATAGAGAGAGTTCTTTCACCTCTGAAGAGAGCATGTTTGTCCAGCAGCCTCTGACCTAGCCCAGATATACCAGAATCTTCTTCAATGCATTCTAATATAAAAAGGACTAATGTTACTGATCAAAACCACAGGAGATCCTTTAGAGAGGGAATTTTTTAAACATTTATTCCCTGGATTCATCACAGGTTTGACCCACACTCCATATTTTGAACATGCAATCACAGTTACCTAGCAAATCCTTTTCCTGCACTATAGATCCAAGGGTTTGCTGCAGTGCTTCCCATCTCCCCTGGCTCCTACAGCCCTACGTGATTCAGGAGCTTGATCCAGAGCAATTTTCCTCACAAGGCAGGGACGTCTTTGAGAAATGGCTCAGTTAAGCCCTAGATCTGGAGCAGCAGTTTAAACGCCCCTGCTGTGGCTCTGCTTAGAACATAATCAGCTAACTCGTTTCCCTGGAGCAGTTGGGTGAAGCACTCTTCAAGAGAAGCAACCCAGTGGAGCATGGTAGGGCAGGCCTCACCATCTAGGGCTGCAGCGGTGTCTGTCCTGCAGAGGCCCAGAGCTGTCCTGACCTCACCTGCATGCGCTACTCCTTGCTGCATTGGTGCAGATCCTGGCAGTGCGAAGCCGTTGCTCTTGTCTTATCTTCTCTTGCAGAGTCTCCCTCCCTTTATAGAACGGCAACCAAAGAGTGCCCTCTTCCCCCCCTGCCACACTCTAGCTCGCCTCCCTTCTCATGCAACGCATGTCTGTGACCTTGGGGAATCATTTACAGTGCCACACACGGAACCCTGTATTTTGCACACAGCAAACAATGTGTAGCCTTATTTATGGTTATCTGATGCTGTAAATGGAAATAAATATGGTTCTTTATAAAGCTCGTTGTTTCCTCTCTTCTTTGCCATGGAAGCTTCTAGAACCTCAAACACAGGGATTGGTGTAGGGGGACCATCTTCCCTGAACTGCTGATGGGACTTGCACTCATGGTGACGTGGGGCTCTCTGGGGCTGCGCTGGGGCACTCTGAAAGGAAATATTACCCAGGGGTAATATTTGGAAAATGTCACCAATGCTCTGGGGCCAGGCTTTGGGATCTTTCTTTAAAATGCATTGTACTTTGCTGTTCTAGAGCTGGCATAGTGGGCGAGGGTCAGTGTCATCCCAGCTGTTAGAAACACTGCATCGGCAGCCACCTACTGATAGCAGTACCCATCTCCCACCACCACTAAGCCATGGCCCCGCGGAAGGGTGTTACCTACAAAGCTTACACAATTAGACTGTTCCATAGCAAAGGCTGGTCTTGAACATTTTGCACTGGCCATGAGTGAAAGGTTAGGAGGATGGACTGGATGTTGGTCTCAGGATAATGATGAACATGGCAGTGTATTCATCAAATGGAGCCATTTGCCATCCCAAGAGACCTCCCTGCTCCCAAAGGCCCCGATCATTCGGCTGAGTGCTGTGAGACTGCTCACAGGATGCTCTGAGCACAGCACCCATGGCAGACTGGACACTAGGCTGTGTTTAAAGGAAGGATTTGGAGCCTCACTTGGCTAGCCTGGGCAGCACCAAAAATGTCTTGTCCTCATCCAGGTGGGATGTGGCCATCACCAGGGTTTGTACAGCTGGGCTTCTGACTCTGGGATGAAAAGTCATCTGTGAGCTTCACGAGGGTCCAAAGGGGAATTTCTGGTGCCCTGGTCTCTGAATCCAACTGCTAGTGCCTAGATCTGCCTTCAGAGCTGTCTTAGTACAGGAGGAAGGGCCCTGACCCTTCTTTCCTTTCTGTTCAGGGAAGGCTATTAAGACTGAATGCTGTGTTGGGCAAGTGACTTGCTCCTGTATATATTCATTCAACAATGATTTG